GGGGGCAGGGTTGCGGGGCCGAAGGCGGGCCTGCGGGGTTAGGCGGCGGGGTACCCGGGGCTGGGCGGCGGCGGGGGTCGTCCGGCGGTGGCGGGGTTGGATGGCCCCCGCGGCGGGGGTCCGGGGTCCACAGCCTCACACCGGCTTTGCCCCCGGGGATCCCCGCTCGACAACGCTGGCTGCGCTCCTCTCGTAGCTCGGATGTGTCCAGACGTGGAATACGACAGCAGAGTATACACTGTGTTATACGCCTCTGAGTCAGTACATATATCTGTTACCACTGTGTTATATGTACTGCTACCTCAGTACATATATCTCCTGTGTCCAGATGTGGAACACCAGAACGGAGTAATATATTACACTGTGTCATAGTTTCACTTGGAGTTGAGCATCTCACTCATTCGAATCGGAACAGTATAATGACACAAACTCAAGTTTGTGAGTAAAACGAGTTGTCGCTCTTCACAGACTTAGAGGAGTAGGATGACCTGTATTTTGAAGTGTGAGGACCAGAATCAATTGGAGTTCTGCACCGATGATCGTGTACATGTGTAGAGCGAGAGAGATAGAAAGAGAGAGAGAGAGACAGAAAGAGCGAGCGAGAGAGAGACAGAAAGAGCGAGAGACAGAGAGTCTTAGAGAGACTGTACTTAATTTTCAGGAGACGCAGGGTCGAGCACACGCGTAGACCATCAGCCTCGTTTTTTAAAGCATTTCAGACGATCATTGTAGGAGAGCAGTAAGGTAATGTGAATTTTCAAGATAAGCGAAACTCGGATGTATCCGAGATCACAGGAGATAAACAGACAGAGGAAATCCGCAAGAAATGGTCGTGTACATTTGAAGAGCGAGAGATATAAAAAGAGAGAGAGAGACAGAAAGAGCGAGAGATAGAGTGTCTCAGAGAGACTGTACTTAATTTTCTCGAGACGCCGCACGGACGGCGCAGGGTCGAGCACACGCGGAGATAATCAGCCTCGCTTTTAAAAGCATTTCAGACGATCGTTGCAGAAGAGCAGCAAGGTAATGTGATTTTCCCAGATAAGCGAAGTTCGGATATATCCTAGATCAAAAGAGATTGACAGAGAGGAAGCCCGCAAGAAATCGCATATTAGCATGCCAGAGGGCTGAGAGATGGAAAAAACAAGCACCGTATAGTCACCCACAACATTTCGTGTTACTGACGTATCCGAAGTGTCGAACTAGTATGGACCCTTCAGTTTGAGGCTTCCCCTAGAGAGAGAGAGAGAGAGAGAGAGAGAGAGAGAGAGAGAGAGAGAGAGAGAGAAAAAAAAATATTGTACCATTATTCACCACATTTATGATCCATCCGGAGTGTCTCGGCTGTGAGTCGCTTCGCTACGATCTAGACAAAGCTGACAGAGATAGAAAGAGCGCGGCAGAGAGATGGAGAGGGAGACAGAGACAGAGACAGGGACATAGACAGAGACAGAGACACAGAGAGTGACAGAGAGAGTATGGATGTCGTCGTCACTCAAATAGAGAAATCTATCTCCAACAGTGTCAGAGGCCTTCTTCAGAACCTCCTCCACCACCGCCTCGTTGTGAAGGGCTGAGTACAAAGGATCGTCGTATCCCGGCTGAGCTGGTAGCTCCATCCTGACGTCGCTGAGTGTCGGATCAATCCAGTCGTCGGCGGAATTGTCCTTGTCCAAAGTCGTCAGTAGTCGACAACCCTCAATGCCTGCCAGTTGAAGTCCTTCGTCCGTGTGCCTCAGATGAATCCGAATCACGGTCGTCTCCAAAGATTCATCAGGGAGGGACATGTTCATAGGGCCCTGGTTCGGATTCATCCGAGCCCACGCAGTTTCCAATGACGCCGGCATGACCGCTTTCACCGGGGAGTCGCTTACGACTGCTAACCCGGCTCTGAGTGTGTTGGGCTCGACATTGGAACTGGTCGCCAACTCACCCTCAGTCGGACAGTCCGCCTGCAGCACCTTGTGGGCTTTTACGCACAGCATTACTTCATCCTGACACCAATCGTCTGTCATGGCAGACACGGCTTCCTGGTTCGGATGAATCCGAATTTTGTCGCCAGGGTTTTCGGAAACACGGACCACCCGTACGAGTTCTGTAGACAGCTGTGCTCCCTCGATGGCACGGCCTTCGCGGTTCGGATTAATCCAAACTTCCTTTGAGACGAAACGGAACACAGTTCCAGCTTGTCGCTGCCGGACCCGTGGTATGTTGTCGTTTCGCTTCCCGGAAGGCACTGAGTTCCGGACAACGACGTCGTCTCCAAGGTTCGGATTGATCCGAGACAATCCGCCAACCGTTTTTGGAGTTGAGCGAAGCATGTTCCATGCTTTGCGACACCCGCCCCGCCAACTGCATCGACAAACTGTATCTCGCTGGTGGAGCTAATCACAGGGTTCTGCTCGCCAGGTCGCGTAATACACCCAGGCCTCAAGTCGTTCCCCGTCTCCATTAAGGTGCTGCCTGTTACCGCCAGAACCCCACCGTCCTCGTCGCGGTCGACATCGGACCCCTGCCCGTCTCCTCTGTGATGCTTCGTCTTCTCTCCAGTGCGAGGCTTTTTCTTCTCTCGGCTGCCCTTCTTCCCCTCTCCGCCGCCTGCGTGCCTCGGAGACCGCTGTTTCGTCGAACACTGTTCACTTCCACCTCCGGTACCTCGTTACCCGCCGCCTTCACCATCCCCGTCGCCGTCCTTTCCGCGAGACTTTCGCTTTACAACTCCTGCCGGCGGGGTGACCTCAGCCAACTCCCAACTCACTTGCTTAATTGACGGGCTTGACAAAAGGGCGTAGAACGCGGAGGACACTTCCAGCCATTTATTTGACTGCAATAACTCGAACAGCGTGTCCCGGTATTCGCGAAGAGCAGGGTCGTCCTTACTTCGTCGATTGACCTCACTTAATCTCTCCAATACCGCATCGTAGGCGCGCGATTCAAATGTCTCGAGGTCCCAACGATCGTCATATATCCACCCTCCACTTACGTCCCTCACAGCCACTGCCCATTCGCCGTCGAGAAGGACTGGCTGGAATTGGTCTGGGTGCCACACGATATCATGGCCCCAATCTTCAGCTGTGGAGAAGGTGTGTTTGTCGCCCATGTGGAAGGGAGCCGCAGGAGCCTTGAGATGCGGATGGTCCAGAGGAACGGGATGGTTGGGTCGAAGACGTTCGGGCTGCGGCGTGAGACGAATAGGCTCCCCCGGCGAACTCCTCAGACGAGATAACCCACCCCTCTTGACAGGCGCTGAGGAGGACATGGGCTTGGGACCGCCCGAGGTAGGTGTAGCGACTCAGAAACTTGGGCGTTGAAGATGGTCAATTGCCCGTCCAAATCGAAGAGGTCGTCCTCAACGCTCTCCTCCTGCTCAGTCTCGATATTAAAGTCGTCCTCCTCACCGAATGCGAGCTTGTACTTATCCAAAGTGAAGTCGGTCGGATCGACAACATCCTCGTTAAAAAAGACATATTCCAGCCTCTTAATGAAGCTCACAGCGCCGGCCCGACTTGCTCCGTGGTAGCCCTGGAGGACCGCAATGGCGACTTCCTTCCGCACCACATACTGCGGGTCAAATCTCAACCTTGGTTGTTCGTCGTAAAGAAAGGAGTAGACCTGGCGCCTTTTCTTCAGAGTCAACTTGAAGAACATGTCCTTGTTTGGGTCATAAACAGGCTCGACCACGACATGGTGGAAATCGCATGGGCAAGGCTTGGACGACACTTCATGGGTGACATACTGCACGGTGTATTCGAGCTGCGTTATGTCCCCATCCACGACCAAGACGTGCCTTCCCTGCTGAAGCAGACTCCACACCACGTGCGCGTGCGGCTTGCCCAAGAACAGCACGACATCCGCCACACCACAGAAGAAAAGAAGCTGATTGCACAACTGATTCGGATTCCGCTTGCCGTCCTTGTACAGAGCCCCCCTCTGGGTAAGGTTTCGATATCCGCGAAAGTCAAGGACTTGAAAGACTTCTCCTCCACATCCGTGGGTGTCACTTTCTGTTTCTTACGGAGAGCGGCGACGTCGTCTTCAGCAACAGCTCCCTCGTACACCGGGTGAGTCAGTAGCCGAGGATCCTCGCCTTTGAAAAGGATGTGCATCACATCCGGCTCCTCCCAGACGCTGTTTCCGAACTGATGCGTCTTCTTCGATGTCGTCTTTCGAACCCACTTCCCCGTGTAGCATCGGGTAGCCCCAAGCGCAGACAAACATGTCATGAAGGAGAGGTTCCACAGGCAGGGAACGAAGACCACCAATGTCCAGCAACTCACTGAGAGACGCGAATGCCCCAGAGTCCCATTGCGCACGGTCCACAGTACCGCATAAGTCGAGCACGCAAGTGTGGGAGCGTAGCTGATGCCCTAGTTTTCCCAACGCCTCCTTATGATCTTTGGCACTCAATGGGTCGACGTTAAACTGGGCCAGTGTCGTCAAGGCGCTTGTCCTTGTCCACATAATGTTGATGCATTCATCAACGCCCCGAGGACTTTTTTTGCCTTTGGCGCGATCTCTAGTGATCACCGAAAGGACGACACGCTTCCACTCCGCCGGGAAATGCTGGTCGTTGACGAGGGCTGCCGTTCTCTTGATGTTGTTGTCGTGTTGACACCCGAGAAACTGAGGGCACTTGTTGACGTATGTGGTGTCCGTGAAAAATTTCCTGCTCTCGTTCCAAAGCTTGTCGTTGAGACCTCTGTCCTTGAACTCTTCGAACAGTTGCTTCCTGGACCTGAAGAACGTGGAGTTGGCATTCCACTCCTGCTTATCCATTTCCTCGTTCTCGAACTCCACGTAGTGCCACAGCCTCAGCATAATCCGGTCCATTTTTATTATGTCGACCATCTCCTTGACACTGAATTTCCCCTGCTCGGCCAACTTCTTGCTTCTCGTTTGAACCCACACGACGTTAAGGTTCAAGACGCCGTTCAACAGCCTTTTCTTCTCGCGGTCCGTCAAGTCCACCAGTTCCTTCCAGCAGTGGACATATGGCTCCGGAACTTTCACGTAGAAAGTTTTCTCCTCTGCGCCTTTCTTTGGCTTCCCCCTGCCCCTTTTCAACGACGGGTCGTCCACCTTCACGTACGAGACGTGTTTCTTCAGCCCCTGGCTGTTTGTCACAATGGAGAGTCCTGGCTTGGCCACCTCCTCATGGGTGGGCAGCTTTTCAGTCCAAAGCCGGCCGTCGGAAGCAAGGAGTTTCTCTTTCGATCACTCCTCATAGAACTTCAACCCAAAAGCGAAGACGGAGTCATCTGCCATGGCCAGCGGGAGGTAGAATCGAAGTTTCTCAGCCCATTTCTTTCTTTTCTTTGCTTCCGTTGACAGGTTCCAGATAGGCGTGTACGGCGTCTTCTTCATTGCCAATGCCATGAACCGCACCCACTTTCGCACCTCGTCCTGTTTCTTCGAGGCATTGCCGAGCACCACACGCGGTTTGCCCTTAATTTTTCAGATATTGCGGATGTCCCGCATAGACAAAAACTGCAAGCGCGGTGGATTCTTCTTGTCTTTCATGTTGTCTTCACAGTTGACATGGGCGTAGCCGTCGAACTCGTCGTCGGGGAAGTAGATCGGTCTAAATGGCCATTTACAGAAGTTGTAGTAATCAAACACGGGATGGTGTTTCACCATCATCGTCGCCCTCGCGTTATGCTGTCCACACACAGGATAATACCAGTATTTCTTCGGGTGTGAGCTGTTGGAGTCAGCAGGCACGCGCACAGCAGGCTCGCCGTTCTCTGGAGGCGCGACGATCGGAGCGAGAACGAAAATGGGCTTCATATATCTCATGTCTTTGCGTTCGTAGCAATCGATCATAGCCGACGCGATGGTATCAACGAGGAACTCGTCCGAGGATTGGTGGTTGTACGCATCTTCCCAGTCTGGAATAGCTAATATTCTTTCGGGATTGATGTGCAACACGACGTTCTTCTGCACCCCTATCTGCATCTCAAGGAAGAACGCATTGTCGAGGTTAAAGGCGTTGAGGTTAATCTCCACGTCGTCATCCCCCTCCCCGCTGTCGCCCTCGTCTGCTTTCTTCCCCCTCGATGATTTCGACCGTTTCCCGGAAGACTCACCGGTTCTTCGCCGTATCGACAAGAATTTTGGCGTTTCATCCCCACCTCCAACCCTTTTCCTCTTCTCAACGGAACCACCCTCTCGTGTTGTTGGCGTCCGAGCACTGCCTCCTGCCTTTCTCTGCCTTTGCAGAGCACCTACTCCCTCTCGCTCTTCCTCATCTGGCAAGTTGCGCCTGCCTCCCGACTCAGTCTTTTCAGCCGATCTCTCACGGAACGGCCCCTGCTCGGACACCTCCTCCTCACTGGCGACGTTCCCACTTGCTTCTCGTTCCTGGCTCAACTCCGTCTGCAGTTGCGCCGGCGCTGGTCGGGCCCGGCGAGTCGTCTCATCTGACCTACGCACCTCCCGAACCTGCGGACCACCCGCTCGATCTCCAAGTGAAACCTCGGCCACCTGCATGCCACGAACGAACGAACCGATCCTTTCGACCACACCACGAGGAGCCGTCGATTCTGAGCCCTGTCGCAACCGTTCGCCATCGCCGCCTCCATGTGGCGTCGATTGCCCAAGCAAACCGTGGTGGCGAGATACATGTAAGCCCGGTTTCAAAGGAGCACGCGGATGGTCGTCCCCTGCGTCGTCTGACATGCCCACCTCTTGATCAGGAGGCGTAGCTGGCAGGCCACCCTGACCTCCCATCCCCCCTTCAGAGCACTCTCCTCCCGCGAACCCAACAGGACCACTGATCGATGTTCTAGGTCCGACGTCCACGGCACTGACAGAGGATCCAGATTTCGCCTAGACCTCGAGGAAGTCTGTGACCTGAACGGCCTCGTCGTGCCTCGACGCTAGCGGGACAAAGGCAAAGACATCGCACGACGGTCGTACCCGCCGAACATCCTTCCGGCAACCTTGCATCCCTTTGCGATGCCATTGTAAGAACCATCACTTCTGTAATGCTTCTTCAACGTAAACTTCAAATTGTATTCGCCATCGTCGACCCACTGGACGATGGACCTTGCGAGACGCATTCTGCCGGCGCGAACGCCGACGAACAAGAGCGGCCCGCACGGTGGTTGCAAAGGGTCGGAGCCGTTCTGGCTCGCCTAGTCCAAATACCGAACACGTTTGTTGTAGTCGCACCACAAGTTTTGAGCACGTCGTTCTTCCTCCCCGCCTCCAACTCCCTGACTCGTTTCCCTTGCTGGCGACGACGTCGTCCCTCGACGCTCCTCTCCATGCGGGGCGGAACCACCAGCGGAGCGGCCTCGTCCGTGTGAAGCCATTCCCTGAAACACACGGAGGAAATGAACCCACATTCACTCAGAACAGTCAGCACGTCCCAACATCAACCACGACCCACAGCACGTATTCTGTTATCGGTCACCCGAACTCCAAAAGAACGAAGTTCAGTCATAGTTAGACGACAGTGGTCCATAAGCCTGCACGTTTCGGATGAATCCGAGGCATGGTGAGACATCCTCGTCACACTGCCCTTAAGAGAATGAATGGTCGAAAACGAAGACCGCGGGATAGATCGGATACATCCAAAGCAGGCGCAGTAGAAAAACCGATGTCGCATAGGAACCTGCACCGGGAAAAGCAACATCTCGGAAGAAGGCCCTAGAACGCTGATACGGTAGACGAAGACGAATGCATTGTCATCCGAAGTCGACAAGTGGATTGTAAAGTCTGTCGTTGTAGCTCGGATGAATCCGAGCTCCAAAGCGGTGTAAACCACCCCCTTTCGGCCCGTACGAAACCGAACTCGAGTTTTCTTGTCCTTCTAAGTCGGTAACGGTTGTGACTCGGATGCATCCGAATTCGAACAGCGTGATCCAGAGATGGTCGTCCACAAGAGGTCATCTACAGCACGTGTTTTCGTCACCGACCTTAGAGCACTGGGTTAAACCTATCCTGCCGGAGGTTCGGTTCGGTTGAACCTGAACTTCGCAAATGTGGCTGGAATTAATTCGAGACGGGGACCGGCGGATGGACCCCACGGTCTGTTGACGCCCATCCAGCCATCCAAGCTTCCGTTATTCCCCAGCTGTCGTCGGGTCCAACCTAATTTCGCACGGTGTGTCTTCGTCCTTGAGTGTTTAAGACGTCTGTGGCTCGGATTTATCCGATTTCGACAGAGGCTGTCCCGATACGTGCGAGCACGACAGGCTGCGCCGACACCGTGTGCTTTCGACGTACAAGTTTATCAGACCGTGCGACGTCGTCAATACCCTCTGCGCTTGTGGTAAATCCGAAAATGCCACCGGTGTGGTTCGGATTAATCGGACTTCGCCGAGGCGCTTCGCTTTGTTGTCGCCCCACCACACACCGGACCTCCCCGCGATTGCCGTAGTGTGTCATTATAATTTGTGCGTCATCATGGGGGATATCGTCGTCGTCGTGAGTTTTAGTTGGTTGTTGCTCGCCCAATCCAAACAACAGACACGTTTGCTGTAGTCGCAGCACAAGTTTCGAGATCGTCTTTCTTCCACCGAGCGTAACCATCTCGACTCGTTTTAGTTGCGTGAATCCGAGGCATCGTTGACCCTCGTCATCAGACTGCCCTTCGTAGAGCAAATGGTCGAAGACGAAGACAGCGTGGTAGTTTGGACACATCCGAACTGGGCAGAGTTGAAAGACTGACGTTGTGACTCGGATGCATCCGAATTAGGCCGACCACAAGAGGAGGACATTGGCACGGCGTGTTTTCCTCAAAGACCTGTGAGCAGAGGGTGGACCCTATCCTATCGGAGGTGTTGTTCGGATTAATCTGAGACGGAACGGTTTTTTGACAGCGTGTGATTTCGTCGTTCACGTTTATCGGAACGTGCGGCGTCGTAAATACCGTCAGAGCATGTGACGAATCCAAATTTGTCATCAGTGTGGTTCGGATTAATCCGAACTTCGCCGAGGTGCCTCGATTGGTCGCCAGAGTTTTAGTGGGTTGTGGCTCGGATGCATCCGAAATTAACAAGGGTGGCTCGAAATTAACAAGGGTGGCTCGAATACGTCAGTTGTTGCGCCACCACAAGATGGTATGGATAGGGTGGGCTGTCGTCCTCCTGGTTGGTCAAACATGTCGCCGTCGACAATACCCTATGAGCATCTCATCGCTTCGTGTCCTGTCCTGTGTCCAAATCAGCGGACGGGATCCTCGCGGCGTTCGGCTGATGCGAGGTTTGATAGAATTTAAAGATTTGAATTCGCGTTCGCCTCCTGTGTCTTCGAATCTGTCGTAGCAGTTTTCGGATTACTGATTTGTGATTGCACTCAGGGGGGGACCAACCTGAGATCGGTTGAGCGACTCTCTGCGATAGACAAAGATTGGAGGAAGGCAAAAAACCCGCATAGACACGGAAGGGAGACTAAGATCGATAGAGACGTCGACAAGAAGAGGATGCGCAACGAGAAAGCCTGTCTTTAGCTCTCTGTGTCTCCATGTGCAGATCCTGCGGATGGTGTTGTCCATTTCGGAATTCGCAATGTGACCCGTTAATAAAACGGCACAAAAGAAATATAAGAAAAAATTGTTCGTGTCGGCGAGAGGAAGATTGGCGAAAAATATGAAAAATTCGACGAATGTGGAGGACATTTTACGGATACAGAACCGAACGCCAACGAACTGCACGATGTGACTTACTCGGGAAACGAATAAGCAAACCGAGCGCAATAAAAATTAATTCGGCGTGAAGAAACTCCATATGCAATCCAGAAGAGACACGATTCGTGAGAAACCATGTTCTCGTGTTCAACAACATACGACTGAAATCCTTATATCGCAGTTCGTGAGAGAGACAACATATTGACGACAAGCGAGTAACACTTCAAGAAAACATCTTAAGTGACGACACAATCTCGAAGGGCGTGTCGCAACATTCTCGGGCTGCATTTGCGGGTCCCGTTTCGTTGGTGACCACTCGCCCCGATTAGATGGCACACTCACATGTCCACGTGACAGCTCCTGAACATGTGTGGCGACGATCAGATAGAGCCCCACATCCATCAGCGTGGCCACGCTTGTTCAGGACGTGACACGTGGACGTCTGAGTGTGCCATCTGATCGATGCGAGTGATCGCAAATGAAACGCATGCATTCTTGCTCCCGAAACTCCTTCATCTCGCCTCGATCAGATGGCACACTCACACGTCCGCATGTCATGTCCTGAACATGAGTGGCCACGCTGATGGGTGCGGGGCTATATTGTAGCCTCGCATTCATTCTGCTGCCGCATAGAGCCCCGTTGTTGCATAGAGCCCCGCATCCATCAGCGTGGCCACGCTTGTTCAGGACGTGACACGTGGACGTCTGAGTGTGCCATCTGATCTATGTGAGTGATCGCCAATGAAATGCATGCATTCTTGCTCCCGAAACTCCTTCATCTCGCCCCGATCAGATGGCACACTCACACGTCCGCATGTCATGTCCTGAACATGCGTGGCCACGCTGATGGGTGCAGGGCTATATTGGAGCTTGGCATCCATTCTGCTCTCGCATAGAGCCTCGCGTCCATCAGCGTGCAAACGCTTGTTCAGGAACTGACACGTGGACGTTGACTGTGCCATCTGATCGGGGCGAGTGGTCGCCAATGGAACGAGATCCGCAAATGCACCCCGAGGTAAGTTCGCGAAAGAAACAGGCCAACGCATAAGACGAACAAAATAGAGGCGCTGAAGATAAACTAACGATGGGGACGAAGATGGTAGTTAAACACAAAGGCACACACGTCCACGTGTCAAGTCCTGATCATGCGTGGCCTTGCTGATGGGTGCGGGGCTCTATTCGACAACATTCTGTTGCCGCATAGAGCCCCACATCCATCAGCGAGCCCACGCTTGTTCAGGACCTGCCACGTGGACTTGTGAGTGTGCCATCTGATCGGGGCGAGTGGTCGCCAATGGAACTAGATTCACGACATAGAGGCACTGATAGAAAATTGACGACGATGGTGGTGGAACACGACGCTGTTGGTTCTGTCTCGTTCGTTTGTCTGCGCTTGTCTGTTACGTTCGCTAACTTTGTGCGAACGACACAGACAAGCGCAGTAAAAGGAACGAGATAAAAGACAAAAAGAGAGATAAAGAGATAGCGAGAGAGAGAGAGCGCGACAGAGAGGCGATCTCCGCCTTCATCACACGGCCCAATCAAACGTCACGATCAAATGGCCCCGAACGTCATAGACTCCCTATCACACATCGGACTCATGAACAGAAATCCCTGTTGGATCACACGACAATGCTCATTCGCGGCGACTGAACCCAATGTAATCGCCACCGCGCGAATCCCGACTACAGATCATGTACATGTGTGGGCATTCTCGCGGTCTACGCAAACCCAGCATGGCAGGACTTTTCAGGTCGGAGGAGATGGCGAGAGAAAGAGAGACAGAGAGAGAGAGAGCGAGAGAGGGAGAGAGA